CTAAAGTCTAGCTTACAATATTGAAATGAACCCCTGCAAAGCCTATCTTCTTCTAAGACTCTCCCTACATGCACTTTTCTCTTAACATTATTCTCTCTATATAGATCAGCTTGCATTTTTCTCTCCAAATTCTTTTTTGGACAATTTGTTACATGGATCCACTCTAGTACAAAGCAGACATTTATAAATGCTACATATTCATATAGGCATAGTGTTTGATAAGTACACTGGCAAATGAAGTGTAACAAATCTTATTAAAATCACAAACCCGAATTTAAGGGGTTAGGGCTCTTTGTAGATGAAAGGTGAACCCTCATGTAATTTCTGTGCGGCTGGAAAGGGCTCCAAAACCCACAATGAAAAATCTCTAACTTCAAAAGTCAGTCTGAGGATGTTGCCTGGACTGACCCCACTCACACAGAACCAGAGAGCCATTTACAGTGCTAAACTGACCGGGAGAAAAATGAAACTGGAGCCAAACGAAGCAGGGGAGAATTTCAAGAAATCACTCTTATTACTGAGATAGTGATTTAATTCAACTAAAGTCATAGGTCTCTCATGCTATGCTCCGGCTCGTCTCCTTTTGGTGTCCTTCCAGCGCCTTTCAGGTGCGCTTTCCTTCCTAAGCACCTGCAGCACCTGCAGCACTGAAGTGATGCCACCCCAGCTAGCATCAGCCTTGTGTCGCCACACAGCCTTTCCGAATTCTGAGGCTAACTGGATCTGAAATCTGAAATTGCTAGGAAAGTGAGAGCAGAGGGGTTCCTCTGGCTCTGGTTGTATCTGCGGAAGGAACTGCGTCGTCCCGACACACCCTGGTCTCAATGAATGACAGGGTTGGGCTCCACCGCTACCCCTACCCCAGCTCCAATGTCCCCTGGGTGTCTGGGCAGCCGCTCGGAACTTCGGGTCCCGCGATTAGTCCCGCTCCCCCTGCGTCCCTCCAGGTGACACAGTGGGGCAGGCCCTGGCGCACGTGCGCGTCCTCCCATTCATTCGGTCGCCGGCTGTCATTGGCACGGTGACCTCTAAGCCGCGGG